TTCAAATGTAAAAAACAAAAAGATCTACTTTTTTTACATACTTTCAAATGTTGAAAAAACGTATATAGTATACGTTTGGATCGTTTACGGGTTAATATAATAAAGGTTCTTGAATTTCCTATTAGAATATCTTCTCCATTAAATTACATGCCTTTCAATCATGTATAATCCTCTTTAGAAAGCCATGAATAAGTAAAGGTAAAATAAATTTCAACAAATATTCTATATGACATTTTTTTTTCACTATGCTTTTTGCATAAATAGAGGAACAAAGTAGATAAAGAAAGATTTGTTTTTCAAGAGGAAAAAAGTAACTGATATTGAAAAAATCTGATACAACCTTACTTTGTGTGCCAAGCATTAGGAAAAATTGGAAGACAATATTAAATATTAAATTTAAATCCTCTAGGTATGCAGTTAGAAGCCTGAGCAATATACAACTCACTATGATTTATCAAGTAATATAAACAGAGATGTTGCAATAGCCAGGTTTAGACATGGTCACAAATACAGGCATACCTCACTAATACAGTGATTAAGGTTCCAGACAACTGCCAAAAAGTACATATTGCCTTAAAGTGAGTCACGGTCTTTTTCACTAGCAAGAATACGTACGACACTGAGACATGAAGCGCACAAACTCTGTAAATGGACTGAGCACAGGTAACTAATTTGTAAAAATTTTTTACCCTATTAAGCCTAGTTACTAGGTTCATGTGCATCCATATGCTCCTGTACTATCATCCACTGGATGGATATTGGGTTCAAAATAAGCTTAGCCACTTCAGTATTAAAAATGTACAAAAAAAAAAAAAATCTCCAATCCTCTTTAATTATTACATCCAAAATGTCTATATGATGCTTTATTAAAACTTACCTTAACAAAAGTTCTCAAGAAATCATACAGATATAATACTGTACACTATAATATATCTCACTCACCATTTTATATGCTTGTTCTTCATGAATACCTGATTTTATTCAGAGTTTTACTTTCGTACTGTTTATCATAATTATCAAAGTTAAATAAGTTTCAAAATCTTACCACACAAGAGGCCCTCTTCCTTAATCAACCTGCGGGCCATGGTAAGTGAATCTCTGTCATTGGATTTCATCCACACATCAATCACGTCTCGATCTGTAAAATTTCCAATTAGATAGAGTCCTTTTAACCCGTAAACGGTCCAAGCAGATCTACGTTCACGTGTGTAGTGCTACAAAAGTAGATCTACGTTTTTTTTACATATTTTCAAATGTAACAAAAAAAAGTAGATCAAAGTTTTTTTTACACATTTTCAAATGTAAAAAAAACAAAAAGAAGATCTACTTTTTTTACATACTTTCAAATGTTGAAAAAACGTATATATACGTTTGGACCGTTTACAGATTAATATCTAGTCTTAATGTATTATATATTTTTTGACACTGGCTATCTCCCACTGAGGCAGGGTGACCTGAAAAAGGAATACTTTCACCATCATTCACTCCATCACTGTCTTGCCAGAGGCACACAGATACAACAGTTCAGATGTTCCTCCAAATAGCAAATATCTTTTTTTTATTCAGTAAAAGGCAAATTATATAGCATAAGAAAACCTTGAAATACAGTGCAATGTGGAATTTAGTGTTATGCAAATTATTTAAAAAATTTAACATGGGCTTGCTGTTGCATACAAGCTTAGAGCTGTGTTTTATGCATCTTACCAATATATAAGGTTATAAGTAATTTTGCAGTGACAATATAGTACAGAATGTAACAACACAAGAAAATGAAGGTGTTTTGTCATCTTTTGTCTGATGGGTCAAGATGGGTTACAGAATAAGCTTAAGCTGATTTTATAACAAAAAAAATTGTGCTATAAAACTAACACTAATTCTGATTTGAGTGAGTTACAGATTTGCATATTTCCCTTTTTTGTTGTTTTGGGTTATCCTAGGTAATTTACACTATGTATGATAACTGTACTTATGTGTACCTGTGCCTAAACAAATGTGGTCCTTGATTCTATTCAAGGGATGCCTGTCCTTCAAGAAATATATACCAAGCAAACATAGTTGCTTGAATGACAGAACAGAATGAAGGACTAACTTTTTTTAGTGCACATGCGCACACACATTAACCCTTTGACTGTCGCGGCCGTATATATACGTCTTACGAGGTACCGTGTTTGACGTATATATACTCATAAATTCTAGCAGCTTCAAATCAAGCAGGAGAAAGCTGGTAGGCCCACATGTGAGAGAATGGGTTTGTGTGGTCAGTGTGCACCATATAAAAAAAATCCTGGAGCATGCAGTGCACAATGAGAAAAAAAAAACTCCGACCGTTTTTTTTAATTAAAATGCCGACTTTGTGGTCTATTTTCGTATAGTGTTTATGGTTGTATTCTTGTTTTCTTGATCTCATTTGATAGAATGGAAAACATATTATAGAAATAGAGGTGATTTTGATTGATTTTGCTATAAAAAGAACCTAGAAATGGAGCTCAAAGTAGAGGAAATGTTTGATTTTTGCCAATGCTCAAAAGTAAACAAATGATGCCATTGTCCAATAAATGTCCAACTAGCCATTCTAATATGCAGTCATGAATGGGTTGATGTTATTTATACAATTACAGTGGACCCCCGGTTAACGAACTTTTTTCATTCCAGTAGTATGTTCAGGTGCCAGTACTGACCGAATTTTTTCCCATAAGGAATATTGTGAAGTAGATTAGTCCATTTCAGACCCCCAAACATACACGTACAAACGCACTTACTTAAATACACTTACATAATTGGTCGCATTTGGAGGTGATCGTTAAGCGGGGGTCCACTGTATTTCAGTATTGCAGTAGTCGGCATAATAGTAAGTCTTCTATTTTTTTTGAATAAAAATTCAAAATAGAAAGCAAGAGTAATATCAGAGGGGCCTGGAGACATGACTGATTAACAAAGAAAATGTTGTTTTAGAGCCAGGAATGTCTGCATTGTTCATTCTGGACCTTATTTTGAAATTGTCATATTTTTTAGTTTTCGTGAAATTGGCCAAATTGCAAATTTCTGACCACATTATTAGGTAGTTGAAATTGGTAAATGGGCAGTTTCTTATATTCATTCGATAGAAAAAATGGAGTTCTAAAGAAATAGCTATGAGTTTGGGCGACTGGAATAATGGAATTAGCCGAAAATAGGGCTCAAAGTGGGCGAAATCGCCGATTTGTAAACAGCGCCGAGGTCGCTAACTTCGCAAGAGCATAATTCCGTCAGTTTTCCATCAAATTTCGTTTTTTTGGTGTCATTACAATCGAGAAAAGATTCTCTATCATTTCACAAGAAAAAATAATTTTTTTTTTTTTTTTAAATTTTGTGACACCAGGAGACACCTCAGGATTGGGGGTTGCGACAGTCAAAGGGTTAAGAAACTGGAGGAAGTGTAGAGTATGCAACAAGGCATGCTGAGAGGCTAATGGAATTGGACATAACACTGGAGGAAGTACAAGAGAAGGACATGATGACAACATACAAAATACTCAGTGGAACTGATAAAGTAGACAAGGATCAGCTGTTTGAAGAGAGAAATGGGAATTCAGGGACAATGCTGGTAGTTCAGGTTACAGATGAAGCCTGGAATGTTAGGCAGTGTTTCTTCAGCCTCAGAGGGGTCAGTAAATGGAATGATCTTGGTGAGGAAGTGGTGGAGGTAGGTTCCATATATAATTATAAAAGCAAGTATAAGAGAGCCCTTGAAGCTAAGAGGAAATGAATCTGAAGAGTGGCAAGTTAAGAGGCAGGGTCAGGATCTGAGCATCAACCCCTTAAACCACAAATAGGCGAGTACACATACGTGCCCAATGTACGTAAATGTGACAACAAATTTTGCTTTAGTTTGTATACTAGCCAACATGCACACACTCAGCCCTCTATCACCCTGCCATTCCATTATATACACAACTGTGGAATAATCTCTCCTGTTTGGCTTTTCTAACCAGGTCACAAATGCACCAACTTTCAATAAGTCTCTAGTGTATCTTTAAGATACTGTATAACTTTAATAGAATATCAATGGTATATACAGCAGATGTTGTACATGTGTCTAATTTTTCAGTTTAATAATAGCACTCTGCAGTATTAAATCACAATATAATATTATATCAAAAGTTCACAGGTCTGGTGGGAATTGGATATCAAAACACCTTTCCAAAAAATGATAAAATTATTTGATTTAAAATAAGAGTTAAACCTAAACATGAATAAAGAACTGAAGATCTCTGGTTATTGATTTTTTCCTGAAACTCCCTTAAAATTTTTCCTATGATGTAGACCTCTGAAAATCCTAGTATGGTACAAGAATGCTAAGAAGTTATAATTTAACCGTATTCAGCAATTATTGGGTAAAATTTCTTATTTCTCTGAAGAACATAATTGAACATTTATTACCAAGAACATTGGGAATGAAGTCGTAACCAATCCCCTCAACTTCATACGATGTGACTGGCGGTTTTGTTAAGTTCCTCAGGCAGTGCTAGGATAGAGCCTTCTGGGTCCACACCAACAATTTTACATTCTGGAATCTATGAAATGTATATTATATTACAGTGTTAACATAGTAATGAGATTTATTGTTAATGTCTTAATGCCTGCATCAGTTATTCTTCTAGAGTAAAATAAAGTAACATGAATGGACTCTCATTAGCATTTTATTCTTCAGATCATACAATACAGCATTCTCTGCTAACTACAGCAGGAAGCTCGTAAATTTAGAGGTTCCTTTCAACATTCCACTGGCTTAAAAATAACATAGGTAACATTTTTATGTCAGATTCCTTGTATCTTTGGTTTTCCTTCCCTCCCCATGTAAGGAAGAACCATGACAGAACCAGGTGTAAGTCAAATTACATGACATTCCTATAAAAATAAAATTATTTATAAATTTAATTCAGCAATTTCTCAATTAGACTATATACGTATAATTCATGAAAATCCAGAATCAAGTTAGTGAAAAAAATTCTTATCCCATCTTCCTCAAATTTAAGATACAATATTTTAAACTGAAATCCATAATTAAAGTTCTTATTTAGGTCAATAGTGTGTGTGGTCAGCAATATAGTCATGGAGAAGGGCTAAGGGGCTGCACCACTGTGTGTGGTCAACAGCACTGAATGACTCCTGTGGGTTTAGCACTTGGTTTTTATTATAATAATAAACAAATCGACAAAAGAATACTTAATTTTTTAAAATATGCTGGATGAATCAGCCATACCTAATATATTGTACTGAGCTATCTTCTCTTCAGTAAATTTTCTCTAAATTTCTATACTAACACTTGAGGGGGATGTTTACAGAAATACAGTAATACAGTACTGCCACCTGAAGTTCTGATAATGTGTTTGTGGCTTACATTCAAAATCAAAACCAGCAACAAAAATGTTGGAAAAAAAAAAAAATAAACCTAAGTGGATTTCAAAGACCTCAGGCAGTTTTCTAGGGTATAGTCAACATTTTTTAAGTTATGCCTTTATTCACATTTAAAGAAATTACACTGTTCTTTTGGTAATGGTTCATTTTAAAATGCTTCAATTATCATTCACTGCAGGTGTACAGTATACACTGTATTAATATTAGATCAAAAAGAAAAAGTTGCTCTTAAAATTTTGGGTAGGAATACAAGAACAGTTGAGGAACCATCATGTTATTGATTCAGCCGAATTCAAGAGATTTTCCATTATAAACATTAAATTGTTTGTTCTTATTCAGATACAGGAGGATCCCGCTTTACAGCGCTTTGCATTACGGCATTTTGCTAATGCAGTGGTTTTTAAATTATATCCATTCTTCATTTATTCAGACTTCCTAGAATATATATATTCACCACTCACTACAAGCTAGGACAAAAATATTTTAAGGTAAATAATGTGTCTCCATGGGAGAGTGGAATAGAATTCTTCCTCCGTAAGCCATGCATGTTGCAAGAGGCGACTAAAATGCCGGGAGCAAGGGGCTAGTAACCCCTTTTCTTGTATACATTACTATATTTAAAAGGAGAACTTTCCTTTTTCCTTTTGGGCCACCCTGCCTCGGTGGGATACAGCCAGTTTGTTGAAAGAAGAGGCAGTGTGTACTGTATATACATTTTTTAGGCCTAGCTCTATTGCTCACTTAATACATGATAGTGAAAATATGTTATCACGCTTTTATTTTTTATTTATTTATTTGTTTTTCAACAAACCAGCTGTATCCCACCGAGGCAGGGTGACCTTTAAAAAAAAAAGAATCACTTTCACCATCATTCAATACATTCCCCATCATTCAATACATTCACCATCTTTCAATACATTCACCATCATTCACACGTAATCACTGTCTTTGCAGAGGTGCCCAAATACGACAGTTTAGACTGTCAGTTCAAGCTGCCAATATCCTAAATGCTTCCTTTAAAGTGCAGGCATTGTACTTCCCACCTCCAGGACTCAAGTCCAGCTAACCAGTTTCCCTGAATCCCTTCACAAAATATTGCCCTGCTCACACTTCAACAGCTTATCAGGTCCTAGAAACCATTTGTCTCCATTCACTCCCATCTAACTTAAGACTATACAGTACAATGAAATCTTGGTTTGCAGTTTCAATGAAGCAGTCAAATGTATAAACTGGGAGCATGAACCCCTTAACAATGTAATTATTAATGTACGAGTTACCACTTTCCTCATCAAAGCCACTAGCTTTGACAACACACAATGTACATATCAGAATAAAATCAATTTAATAATTAGACTAAAATATGATAGTACTTATCTGTATCACCTTTTCTTCAGCTGTAAAAATGGAACACATAAGAAACATATCTTACTCGTTCTTTCAGTTTTCTTGCAATACCAGTGATGGTTCCTCCCGTCCCTGCACCTGCCACTAGCATGTCAACATTTCCACCAGTTTGTTGCAGGATTTCTTCAGCAGTGCCTTCATAGTGGGACATGGGGTTGCCAGGATTTTTGTACTGTTGTGAAAGAAAAAAAATTCACTGTACTGCATTAAATATACCAATTCACAATGCTATTTCAGAATAGGCATTAATTTGTCACAATATGAATCAGTGAGACTTAATAAATAACAAATACTGAAACCTTTAAGTCAGCAAGGTAATTTCAATAATTTTTTGCCTAAAACTGAAAGGTTTTACTGAACTTCATGACATAATCTAAATTTTTTTACCATTAACATTATATAGTGGAAAAGAATTTTTCCTCTGAAAACCATGTGTGTCATAAGAGGTAACTAAGATGTCAGGAGGAAGGGATAGTAACCCCTTCTCCTATATAAATTACTAGGTCACCCTGCCTCGGTGGGAGACAGCCGAATCAGACAGCTTGTGTGTTAAAAAAAAATTAAATAGTTTGCTTTTATAAAATTACCTGATCTAGTATCATTGCTCCAGGAATCTCCTTCTCCAGCCTTTTTGCAACTGAGATGTGAGACTCTGGAGAATCCCACGATGCAGAGGTTGGGGTGCGCACAATCTCTGCTCCAAGGGCTCTAAGTACATAAACCTTTTCATTGCTCATCTTCTCTGGCATCACAATTATGCAACGATATCCTTTCACTGCCCCACATAATGCAAGTCCAATTCCTGCAATAAAATATACCTACTTTAATTTATTTATGATTATTCAAAGGACTGAAAAATAACCGATTACTTAAAACTGATACATCACCATGTGTCAGTTAAACGGCTAGGAGTTTCAATTTTATTTATTCATTTGTTTTACAAGAGTGTATAAATGTATAAATTTTATAATACTATAGTAAAGGTAGGAAGTTGAAAGTGAACATAGACAAGAGTAAGGTGATGAGGGTATTAAATGATTTAGATAAAGAAAAATTGGATATCAAATTGGGGAGGAGGAGTATGGAAGAAGTGAATGTTTTCAGATACTTGGGAGTTGATGTGTCGGCGGATGGATTTATGAAGGATGAGGTTAATCATAGAATTGATGAGGGAAAAAAGGGGAGCGGTGCGTTGAGGTATATGTGGAGACAAAAAACGTTATCTATGGAGGCAAAGAAGGGAATGTATGAAAGTATAGTAGTACCAACACTCTTATATGGGTGTGAAGCTTGGATTGTGAGTGCAGCAGCGAGGAGGCGGTTGGAAGCAGTGGAGATGTCCTGTCTAAGGGCAATATGTGGTGTAAATATTATGCAGAAAATTCGGAGGTGTGGAGGAGTTATTAATAAAAGTATTAGTCAGAGGGCTGAAGAGGGGTTGTTGAGGTGGTTTGGTCATTTAGAGAGAATGGATGAAAGTAGAATGACATGGAGAGCATTTAAATCTGTAGGAGAAGGAAGGCGGGGTAGGGGTCGTCCTCGAAAAGGTTGGAAGGAAGGGGTAACGGAGGTTTTGTGAGCGAGGGGCTTGGACTTCCAGCAGGCGTGCATGAGCGTGTTCGATAGGAGTGAATGGAGATGAATGGTATTTGGGACCTCACGATCTGTTGGAGTGTGAGCAGGGTAATATTTAGTGAAGGAATTCAGGGAAACTGGTTATTTTATATAACTGGACTTGAGTCCTGGAAATGGGAAATACAATGCCTGCACTCTAAGGAGGGGTTTGGGATATTGTCAGTTTGGAGGGATATACAGTATTGTGTATTTTTATACGTATATACTTCTAAACTGTTGTATTCTGGGCACCTCTGCAAAAACAGTGATTATGTGTGAGTGAGGTGAAAGTGTTGAGTGATGATGAAAGTATTTTCTTTTTGGGGATTTTCTTTCTTTTTGGGTCACCCTGCTTCGGTGGGAGACGGCCGACTTGTTGGAAAAAAAAAAAAACATTTTTTAACAGTAAAAGATAGCATTTATCTTTCTAGCTAAGAAAACATGCATTGTTATAGAAAAAATAAAATAATAATTTAATAGCCTAACACTACAGTAGGAATGGATTAATTATTAATTGCACTTCACTTTTAGTTTAACTAACAGAATCTGTGCCTTCAGAGTTAAAGTAAAGTTTGTTCCTTGTAAATAAGGAATCTACATTACAATTAATTGCTATTCAATAATTTTTTGTGAAAATAGCATTATGGTACATATATAACTCAGATAGAGCACATGAGCCATCTGTCAACATTTTGAGTGCATGTTTCAAAAATTTTGGCTTCATGGGAATGCACATAATTTTTACCACTTTGTTCTTTTGTGTGACACCAATAACTGATTACGATGATTTTTAAAGTCCCTGCAGAGTGCTGCCTAATCATAAACAGATTATGTACAGTGATTTGTGAAATTCCTGCACAATGCTACATGATATCATGTCTAGCTTAACAATGATGTTACCACAAGATAGAATACTGTAATCAACAAGTTAAGTATCCTGTAGATACTCTAACCTATGAATTAACAGAGTTTGGGTAAAATCAACTTGCACCTTAACCCTCCATAAAGATATCTGTGACACACTCATCCACAAGTCTTTCTTTGACTTGGTGTAACGTGAGGATGGTCCTGGGCTCAAGTGACAGATTTTGAATGTTTTTTAACTAATTTTTTTCAATATACTCTTATGGCAGAGGCACTGCTAATTATTCTAATAATTTGGATAACTAGAGAAAGAATGTGTGTACATATGGCATGTGAAAATGGGTCACTCTTTTGTCTCAAGCCCATGTGGATGTGTAGGAACCATTCAAGGTTGGGTCAAGTTGCTACATACTCAACTACTTTCCTCTCTACTCTACTGATCTCACAACATAAGTACCTAAAACACTCCTGCATATATTAATAATGTAGTTTTTATCTGTAGACGTAGTACCCTTGTTTTATAAGTAAGCTAGGACGTATCAACTATCAGTAGAGACAGACCTTGTAATAGCTGACTGTATGAAAATACTAATTAGTTGTAGTTCATAAAAATACAGAAGCAGCAATTTGAAGCTTTATTTAGCTGTTTTTGCCTCTATCATATGGATGTATATGTATACGTATATACTTTTGGTATGTACAGTACATGGATGTGTGATATAATCACCATGGCTACTTTTATGTACAACACTATCTTTATTCTTCATAACCTTAAGTAACAAAGGGCAAATCTCCTCAAGTGCCATGAAACACAAGTGATAAACTCAAAGAATGAGAAACAGTATTTAAAGGCCATGGTTGAGATGATGAAAATAGTTGCCTTTATCTTACATGGGCAATTATAATTATTCATGGAAATAATTATTTCTGGACACTCACACTATGGAACTACTCAGTGGCTGACCATGCACTCAGTTTCTGTGTTTCAATTTGTTATTCAACATTTTTTTTTTCAACACATCAGTCATCTCCCACTGAGGCAGGGTGACCCGAAAAGAAAGAAAATACCCCCCAAAAATACTTTCATCATTCAACACTTTCACCTCACTCATACACAATCACTGTCTTTGCAGAGGCGCTCAGATATGACAGTTTAGAAATCCCTCCAAACTGCCAATATCCCAAACCCCTCCTTTAAAGTGCAGGCATTGTACTTCCCATTTCCAGGACTCAAGTCCGGCTAACCAGACTAACAGTCATATATCTGAAATACATTTTTCCCTCTAGTTATTTGTTCATTATACATTTTTTTTTTTTCAACAAGTCGGCAGTCTCCTACCGAGGCAGGGTGACCCAAAAAGAAAGAAAATCCCCAAAAAGAAAATACAGTGGACCCCCGCATAACGATCACCTCTGAATGCGACCAATTATGTAAGTGTATTTATGTAAGTGCGTTTGTATGTGTATGTTTGGGGGTCTGAAATGGACTAATCTATTTCACAATATTCCTTATGGGAACAAATTCGGTCAGTATTGGCACCTGAACATACTTCTGGAGTGAAAAAATATCGTTAACCGGGGGTCCACTGTACTTTCATCATCACTCAACACTTTCACCTCCCTCACACATAATCACTGTTTTTGCAGAGGTGCCCAGAATACAACAGTTTAGAAGTACGTATATACTACGTATAAAAATACACAATATATCCCTCCTGTATCTTAAAAGCTGTTTCATATTCAACAGTAGCATTTTACAATAAATATACATTATGTAGATAGGCAATGGCTGGAATTTGTTGGGGGTAAAGTGCATAGTAATTTTTGTTGTTAGTAGTTACTTGATGGAATGAAGTAATACTGATACAGAACAATTATAATTCAGCTAAAATCATAGTTTTACTGACCTGTGTTGCCAGATGTTGGTTCTATGAGGACAGATAAACCTGGAGTTATAAGTCCCTTTTTTTCTGCATCCTCCACCATACGTAGAGCAATGCGATCCTTCACACTCCCTCCAGCATTGAAGAACTCGCATTTTCCATCTGAGGAATTGGATGTGCGTACAGGCATATTATTATTACAATCGGGAGCCATACAATACATGAGAAATGGCAGGCAATGAGATTTGATCTAATGAAGAGGAGAACAGGCCCATTTCCTTGGATTAAGAGCCCCTCACCAGCAATGAGACACCTCCCTTGAGGGAAAAAGAACTCATTTGTATTTGTGCATGCTGCCAGAAAGTTAAAGCATTTATTTAAGAGCAAAAATCATGAGTATCTAACAAATACACAAATGAGCTATATTAATGTCAAGAAGTACTTCCTCAGTCTCAGGGTGGTCAGGAAATGTAATAATCTTGGTAAGTGATGAAGACAGGCTCTATACATAGTTTTAAGAGCTGGTATGACAGAGCCCACAAGATTAGAAGGGAGTGAATCTGGCAAGCTGAGAGGCAGGGACCAGGACTAGACTCCTGCAACCACATATAGGTGAGTACACAAAAAAGTGACTACTCACAAACATCACACTTGAGGCCATAGCTCTTGGGAATGTTGTTGAGTTTAACAAGTGGAGTGTTGCCAATATGCTCGAGGATGTTGTCTAGTGTCCGTAGACTTTCATTTCTGGAAAGGATAAAAAAAACAGAGAACGGATTTCAGTTTAACCATTTAGACATTACCTGGAAGTACTGGTGGGAGTAACTCTTATGTACACATTATTTCCAATATTTTATCCCTGAAACACCATTAAAATGAAAATTATGTAACCTATTTTCTAGTTTGAGAACCTTACGCATACAGATTCAAATAAGCTGTTTTTTTTATTTAGGAATAAAATACTGTATTTTCAAAGTGGCTATGCAGAGAGCTGGACAATTAAGGACTGAGGGACTGACCACTTCAAAATTACTTCAAGACCGAGGGACTGATGAACCATTCACTGACTGTTGATGATAATCTGTGAACCATTTATTGGCTGTTGGAGACAACCTGTGAACCATTCACCATTTGTTGAACATGATCTGTGAACCACTCACCGGTTGTATGTGTAGTCCATGGTAGACATGGTGGGAGCGAGGGGAGGAGGAGGAGACGACGAGGAAGTGGCAGCACGGGTAGTCTGTAAAGAGCAAAACATACATACATTATCTTCTGTACCTTAAGGTCATATCTGGTCAGCTCTCTCTTACGTAGTGTCAAGCTGGGGGTCACACTGGGTCAGATGCACTAGTCAGCACCGTGGAAGTCAGGTCAATGCATGAGTGTGAGCTCTGTTAGGATAGGTTGTGATAAGTCTGCAATAATAGCCTATGATGTTAAAAAAAAATCGAATCTTTCGTCACTGCATATACTCCGATACATATATTTAGGGTTACTGTCAAGTGGCTATATCTTTGATACATCTTTGATGAGTTATGAGAGTTTTTCTGCTCCCAGTGCCCGGCCTTGGGCCAGGCTTGTTTGGTTTATACTTGTCAGCCATCTGGAAGTGGCTTCGTTTGAAACTGTGCTGATGAGCTATGTAATAAACTCATGATTTATATCATTACAGAGTGAACAATATCTCTGACTACACTGGAAAGGGTGTGAATGCCTACAAAATCCTTGATACATATCAGAGTATTGGTGTGTATCAAGGACTTTACCTATGTCAGTAGCAAGTACTTGGGGCTGGCAGAAAAAGAAAAAAATAATATAGCAAAAGCAGACCTTTTATTAAATAGGGCAGTTTACATAGAAAAGGTTTTATCATTTTTTAAAAGTCTCTTTTTTAGGCTTGTATAAAATCTTTTATACTTGAAACGTCATATTTAATAAAAGGTCTGCTGTTGTGGCGTCTTAAAAAAGTGCTGGCTCTTGGAAAATATCTTCCTATTAGTTTTAAGAGTGGCAGAGTTTTCTGCATTGAGGATAATTCTGTTCCATTTTTAGGTGGGTTATTTAGACTCCAAAGACATGAGCGTAGAGGGTACATATTTTACCCTGAGAACGCAGGTGTCTTGACCTGACGTTGGCTGCCTGCTCCCCTTGCACTGCCCTTGACCTGACATCTGGCTTTCTTCAATCTTCTTCCTGGCGACTTCATAATGATCCAGGACGGCCACAAATGACACCGTTTTTATTTCCAACATGGGACTCATATTTCACGGAAGGTCAGTTTTATGAGATTTAAAAAAAAAAAACACTAGGATCATTCAGCTTCATATACTGCTTCTAACAATAAAACATTTACATTATCATATGAACAACTTGACTTGCTATCAATATAAAGTTACCACTGTCATTAACAGTACATGTCACATTATGTCCCTCATAAAAGTGAGCTAAGTAAAATCTATTATATTTTTCATGCCTAAATCCACAGCCATAATTCGCTGTCACCGGCCGGACGCGTTCTTAATTTAGAGGAAAGGGCAAATTTCCTAATCATTTATGAAAACATTTTTTTTTTAAAGAAAAGTTACTGTCAATGAGTAATAGAAAGTCCGCTAGGAGATTTAATTTTGGCATGATGAGCGAGTTTATTTTAACCTGAGGTTAATGTGCATATTTGCTTACAAACTGAAAATTCATGATGGTGGAATTAACATAGACTGAGTTATGTTGTGTGTACCATCAACTCACTGAAGGTAGTGTACACACACTACCAATCCACCAGAGGCATTCAAGTAACTACAACCTACAATTTATATTGAGTCCTCCTCATTATGAAGAATACCACTGTCAAATTGAAGGATATATCAGTGCATTGACAGAAAAATACTCTCGGGTCAATAACTTTGAATAACCCAAGAAAGCCACGTAATACGGCTTATTTCTCTGAGGGTTCTCTCTCACAATGAGATGCAAGCATGAAAAACACAGAAGAAATAGTGAGTAACATTAAAGAAAAAAAAAGTCATGAAAAGAAGGAAAGAAGCTAGATACAAAACAAAATAAGGAGGAACGCGAAAGTATGAAGGACCAAAAGAAAGGATGAGGAACGTGAAAGAATAAGAGGCATAAATTATGGTAAGAAATGAGGAACAGAAAAGGTAGGAAGGTAGGAAAAGTATAAGAAGCAGAAAGAGGGAGAATCAGCAGTACAACGAAGCAAGATGCCAACATTGCTAAATTGCATTAAAAAATAAAATAAAAAATAAACCTGACAAATACTCGTAATTATTACCCAAGATAGACACTAAATCTTGAGAACCATCATGGTACATGGCGACACACAATATAAATACGGTACATGGGGGAGGTCACAACGTGGCGTGACCTCGCAAGAATCCCAGGTCGCACATACCTCGGGTCAAACTATAATCTAGCGCGTAGGAATCCATATTTTCCTCAAATAAGAAATGGCCAGGTTCTCAAAACTGAGTCCTGGCAGCGGTCACTGAGGCTCCACTGTGCTATTTATTAAAACAAGGCACGCAGCCAGTGCGGCCATTCAACAGTAAGAGTACCAGACTCCAACCTTCTTCTGGTAACTACGAGACGGATACGCTACCTAATACCACTTATTCACTTTACACACTCGATTAGGCCTGTGAATAAGAGAAAGATAAGACGCCAAAGAGGAAACTTATCTTCAAACTTATTAACCTAGAAGAATCAATAACACCGGATACCCCTAGAAAGTCAAACTATGTAACTTATTTCCATTGAAGTCCTAAGGTCCTCCCTCAGGATGCCACCCTCGACACTCGATTAGAATTGCTTAAAATAATACGAGTAGAGTTATGCATACCTAGTGCTACTTACAGAATATGTAAATATCAATGTCATGATAGTACTTTAACTGCTTGATTAAAACAGCTCCTAGTGTTACTAGAACTTGTAAGTCATGAAACAAGGGAGTGATAATGGATTCAAATAACAATTTGACACAGAAATGTTTTGATAACATCAAGTGTGTCATGCTAGGAAAGAAGAGCTTACCCCACCACCCTGGTACATAACTGTTAATGTCACCATGCATATCTACCTTCCCACGACCTCTACACTAATAATAGACTACAAATGTTGAAGCAATGTGTAACAAAATAATGATGTTCTTCCATCCATCCATCCCTTCACTACATCATTCACCCGTCTCTGCTAGCTCAGGCTTCTCTCTTCCCTCCTACCACCCTTCTGCCGTTTTCCTTTACCTCCTGCAGGGAGCACTGCAGGAGGTAAAGGAAAACTAGTGACGTCGGGTGTCACGCAAACCTTCCAGTCTATAACCATCGTGTCCCCCATCCGTCACCACCATTATGGAGCTCCACGGCTCTTTTTTCAAAGAGAAGCAAAATTGTGGACGACATTCCTGAAAGAGCGTGGAATTACCATTAGCAGTTTTTCTAACGTCAAAGAAATGTCAGGTGAATTTGATGACAAACGTGGGACTGGTGACACCCTCGCTCTCTCTCTTGAAGACTTATGATTCTTCTTTCAGTCGAGTCACAGGGATGCTCTAAATACGTATGGGCCCTACAGCGCATGGACAATGTGAAGAAATCACGTTTGATACGAGGAAAAGCAGGACAGGTAAAGTTACTTGAGTCAGGAGTCCTTCAACAGCATCAGTCACAATACTGTGGCTGGAACAACTTGCAACAATGACTGGAACTGACAACACTGTGGTCAGAACAATTGACAACACTATGACTGGAACAACTGACAACACTGGCTAGAACAACTGATAACACTGCGGCCAGAACAACTGACAACACTATGACTGGAACAACTGATAACACTGTGGCTAGAACAACTGATAACACTGTGGCCAGAACAACTGACAACACTGTGACTGGAACAACTGATAACACTGTGGCTAGAACAACTGATAACACTGTGGCTAGAACAACTGATAACACTGTGGCTAGAACAACTGATAACACTATGGCTGGAACAACTGACAACACTGTGGCTAGAACAACTGGCAACAAAGTGGCTGGAACTAATAATGTGGCTGGAACAACTGACAACAATATGGCTGGAATAACTGGCAACAGTGGCTAGAACAACTGACAACACAGTGGCTGGAACACCTGACGACACAGTGACTGGAACAACTGACAACACTGTGGCTGGAAGCACTCAGTAAATGATTTAAGCCAGCCAGAATATTCATGTAGTTTACATTTTCAAGAATGGCTTAGGTGAAAATGATTGCTTAAAGTTAACATAAGATAACATAAGAACACCTCGGTGTTCAAGCCGTTACTTCACTGTTCAAGCCATCACCTCACTGTTCATGCCATCTACTTAGGCCATAAAGCAACAGAGAGGTTGAGTGACAGGTGAGACTAAGCAACAGGTGAGGAGGGAGACAGGTGAAGGTGAGAACAGGTAAGGGACCAACTTGTTCTCAAGATTTGAAAATAATTTAAGTAGAAAACAGACGTGTAAACATTTCTAAATATACCACAACACGTGCAGACACGTACGGTAAATGTTATCAATACAGGTCAATATGTAATGTTATAAACTCTGATAAATGAGACTCTTGTGCAACATTTGGATATCTTTATTCTGAAAACGTTTCGCCAGCCATTCAAACTCCTCATCCTGGCTGCGCTACCGAGGTCCTGGCCAATCTATTTTTAAGTCCTGACTCACGAAATCGTAATGACACAATTGCAAATAAACCATACCACGGGCTGGGATAGAACCCGCGATCAGTGAGTCATAAAACTCCAGACCGACGCGCTAGCCACTGAGGCCACCTGGCTACAAGAATCTTGTTGCAGCCAGCTGGCCCAGTGGCTAGCGCGTCGGTCTGGAGTTTTATGACACTGATCGCGGGTTCTACCCCACCCTGGTATTTTTTTTTTTTTAAGTCCTGGCTTCAGCGACGCTACTCGGGAGTGTGTTCACTCACCCACAACCCAAGTCAGTTCTTTCCTATATCTTTTCTAAATTTAAATTAGTCTAACATGAACCTATTACCGCGAGTCCTGTCTTGGTTAGGTATTTTCAGCACGCTATTTATATTCTCTTTATTTATTCCTGTTTTTCATTTGTACACTTCAATCATAACACCTGTAAATTTTCTTTCCGGAGAGTGCAGATGCAATGCTCTCAGTCTGTCCTCGTAGGAAAGATTTCTGATACATGCGATTATCTTCATCCTTCTCGGCATGTTTT